GGAACCTCTGTGCCCGGCCACCCGCTGCCGTAGTTGGCTTTGCCGGAGAGAAGTCCTTGCCGTTCCCGTGGGGATTGGTGGAAGATGTTTCCCAGGGGCAAAGGAAGAAAAAGCAGGTGATCCCTGGGGTTTCCCAGGGCAGCAGCCGGGGGGAGCAGGGTCATGCCGACTTCATGACGCTGTGGACCCAGCGGAGGTAAGGAGCGATGTGCGTGTAGAACCCGGGCCAGTTGTTATGCCGGTAGGAGAAGATGCCGTAGGCTTTGTTGTTGCAGACAAGCGGATCCCCGGCATCACCCTGTAAAATGGGGGAGGAGAGGGTGGGGGTCGGTGTCGATTTGCGTGGGGTCCGCAGGAAAAGGGAGCATTTGCAAGGAGCAGGGAGGCTGCAAATACCGGGACAGAACTTCCCCAGGAGACACGTGGCCTCGCAATGGATGTGGCCAGCTCTGGGTCCGTAAGGGACTACTGTCTGCATTGTCCGGGATGCGGCACAGCCACAGCCAGGCAAAGGCTGAAGCATAAAGTGTCGCTTCATTTGCTGCCTGCGGGTCCTGGCAATGGGTGCTCAGACCAGCTGCGAGGCGAAGGGCACCCCCCCCCTTCGGCCGAGCTGTTGGGCTGCTGCGGAGTCCCGGGTCATCCGCTGTGGGAAGACGAGGATGCCCTTGTCCTTCTGCCTGGCCAGGGCTGGGCACAGGCGTGACGGCCGCAGGCAGCCCCTCAGGGGGTCTGACCCTCGGAGCTCGGGACTTGGGACCTCTTGTGCCAAGACAGTGAGAGAGAGGGATGCTGGTGAGGAAGCATGGAGTGATGGAGGGGCAGGGAGGGGACAAGAAGCAGCAATTTCAGAGAGTAGCTTTTCAGTGAAATGTTTTAGCCCAGATTAGTTTTGTGCCCAGCACCTGGCTGAAACCTCCCGTGCAGCCTCCTACTCCCCAGGTCAGAGACAGACCTTTTTGGGCCCCCCAGAAGATCCACTGACCTTTTCGGGTAGCCCAGCAGATCCACTGTGGCCACAGATCAAGTTCTCAGCCAGCCCAGGGTAGCGGCTGAGGCAGTCCCTCTGTTTGATGATGGTGACGGTGGCTTCGCGTAAGGTGGCGGCGGGGCTTTTGTGGCCCCAACCCGCTATGCTGCACATAGTCCCACCCGGGACTTTGGATTTCTCGAAGGAAATGGTCCTGACGTAGCTGGTGCTGGTGGCGTTGCCTTTCAGCTGGGCAAGGGGACAGAAATACCGAAATAAGCGCTCGGTCTGCAATTGCTCCGTGACACGGCTGTCCCCTCCCGGGTCACGGCTCTGGCGGGCAGGACCGGTTACCTTCAGCAAGAGGATGTCGTTTCCCTTCTTGGGACTCAGGAAGTCGGGGTGGCAGTGATACTCCTGGACTTCGAATGTTTGCCAGCTTTCCTCTCTCCTCTGGATTGTGTGGGCTCCCAGGATGACAGTCAGAGGTTTGTGGCTGGTGAGATCAAGCACAGTGTGTCGTTAGC